TTTCACAAGACAAGAAATACTATTAGATCAAAGACCCGTTAATTTTTTTTTTGATTATTATTTTTGTTAGCAATAAAATTGAATTCCTTATATCTCCCTCCACTTAACTATGATTGGATCCGAATCATTCCACCCGATAGGGTTGTTATGAGTTTCATCCTAGCCATAAAATAATGAGAGATGACCAACTCAACTCCAACTTAATCTGTCTGGGCATTATTTTCTTTAACATTAGACGTGAGTCCATTGTCATACACTCAATTACATATTTAAATTTAGTAGTGATGTATATTAAATTGAAAGTGACAAAACTACCCTCACATTCAATTTCCTCTAAATTAAAGTAAATTGTACTCTTGTCAGTCTCATTTCAAATATTCTCATTTCGAACACCTATGATCAGGATTGATTGTAAACCAACTATTACTTGAATTGATTTGTCACGCAAATATTATCACTTGGCTACAACGTTGAGCGAGTATCGACTTATGTTATAATATTGACATAATCAATGGTATTGAGTTAAGTTTGACTAATATAATCCATTTCTATCGTTTAATATCCGAACCCCAATTAAAATTCAAACCCAAGTGAGAGAAAAAGGTTGATGTAGCAAATTAGGAGTCAAATCATTCCACCAGTAGGCAATTAAATGAAGATGGTCAAATATTTGAGAATATGGACATTTACTCAAGGGCAATCTCTTGGGATTAGATAACGAAAGATTTATCCCTCATAAATATTATAGTTTTAGCGTGGACCGAAACACAGATTAATCGATGTGTGCTTAAGCTAGTCGGGATGCCCCTAACCATTGAAACAAAAAAATAAAAAAATAAAAATAAATATTTTTACCAACTGATTTTTGGTCAAATGATACTCTTTACCTTGTAAAAATTTTACTTTTCTTAATAAGGTAAGGGTCCAAGTTCCCCTCCCCTTTCCCGAAAAAAAAAAGAAAAAAAGAAAAAAAATGGATATTTATTACAGATGCATTGGAGAGAGAGAGAGAGAAAAAAAATTTACTGGTCTGTGGTCAAATGATATTTCTTATCTTGTGAAAATTTTACTTTTCTTGATAAGGTAAGGATTCAAATCCCCCTCTCCCTTACTTAAAAAACAGAAAAAAATGGATATTTAAGAGAGGGAGAGAGAGAGAATTTGAAGATGGTAAACTAAGCCCACAGGCCCATAAAAAACCCTTACATGCATGGGGAGCTTTTGCCCTATTTTAGCTTGTTTGATTTTTGTTTGTATGAACTACAATGTAATCTTACCAGTTTTTTTTTTTGATCATGGATAATCTTACAAGTTCAAGTACAAGTTCAAGGTTTGATGACAACTCAAGCATCTTTGTCAACAACCATGGCCTTACTAAACTGTAGTCTTTGGGTAAATTAGGTTTCTGATTCTCTAAGTCTCCATCAAAACCCAATTCTTGCCTCAAGTTGTGGCAACTTAAATACATTGGTTGCCCTAAGTCTGCTATAACATCTATGGATGTGATATGACAGATCGAGAAGATAATAAATTTGGTTATGATTTTCATTCAATTGCTATGAGTAATATTAATGGCACAAGCAAACTTAAATGTAATCCATCCAATCTAAGCATTGTATCTAACTGCCCATAACTCTTACTCAATAGATAGATAGAATGGAAGGACTTTATGATAATTTAAGTAGTAATAGGGACGAGATATAAATATAAATATCTTGAATTTGAATTTTAGTAACTTCTTGGGGCTAAGTCATAAGAGATTTATCCTTCATAAATACCCTAGTCTCAATGTAGATGACATGTTTTTGATCGAATCTAAGAGAAGATTAGTCGAGGTGCGCATAAACTGACCCGGACACTTCTGACTATTGAATTAAAAAAAAAAGGGAAGGACTTCAGTTGGTTTTGCCGAAAACATTGAATTTAGGTTGAAAAAACCATTCATTTTCTATGTGTGCTTCTGTGTGAAACTTCATAACCAACTTAGTAGGAAGGTTGGCACATTCACCACCTAATGGGAAAGAAGATAGATGATAATCACAGGCCTTACAGCCCAGTAGTAATGTTGACTTATGTTCTTATTAAGGTTGGTTCTAGATAGTGCATCAACTGAGGCTGGGCGTGAGGTATCCACTTGCCAAATAGGCGTACAAACGAAACAAATTGTTTATGAACGATTCAGACTGGAGTTGGTTCATATTCATATTCATTTATAAAATAATAAAGTGAGCTTGCGCTCAATTTTAAAGTTTGTTTAATGATAGTGCGAGCCTAAAGAATATAATAAAATTCAGATTCTTTTCATTAATTCAGATTGTGTCGGGCCTAAATACATATAGTGAAATACCATTTATTAATGGGTCCCTCATCTATTCACGGTGGATGATCTACCACTAAGTGAAATTAAGGGAAAGTGTAATGAAAACGGTCTAAATCCAATATTATATTGTTTAGGTCGTTAGGCTCGTAAACTAATTATTCTCATTTATAAATCATAATATATTCATCAAAACAACTCCTACCCGAGCTTGAACAGTCTGGTTGGCTTGGGTAGATTATATTTGGTTCATTTTTAAACCTATTGTCAATGGCTGTTCCATCCAGGTTCAACTCTTTCAGAATAACTTCGATTTATCAGATGCGGCTAGTTTGTTAGTGATTGCACGTATTCAATCTTTGCAACAATCCCACACGAGTCGCAATCGGTTCGCTGCCTTCGGTGTCAAACTTCATAGTCATCGTACTGGGGTGGTTGGTTGGCACAGTCACCCCTTAATGTGAAAAAGGCTGGACGATACACACAATCTGATCGCCTAGTTGTACCATTAAGTCATTGAGAAGTAGTTGTTTTCGAAATGTTCACATCTTAGCAATAGTAAATATAGCAGACTAACAACTATGAGATTATGTTTTTGAATTTGATGGCATGAATATCTATGTGGAGTGGTTTTTGGGTCAAGGTAGGGTTTTCTTGGGAGGTTCCCTTTATGTCCATTTAGGTAATTTTTATTTTGACGATTAATCGTGATTGGTGTAATGAATTCCAAAAAGCGTCTTTATCGTCAGCTGTCTTCAGATCAATTAGCATTTAATGGTCAGTTCAGATACCTTGACTAGGTCGACAAGTCTAATTTTTTAAATCAAGAGAAGCGCGTTCGTACAAATTGTACTCATCTCACACAACATGTACAAATCCATTGTAATGGGCTAAGTTCAAACGAAAAGTTGTGAAAATTAGAAGTTAGTACAATCTACACATCTTTAATGGTAATAAGAACAAGCTTAAACATTTTAATGCTTTAAGGACAAATTTAATGATCTTTTATCTCATCTGGTCCAAATTAGGCGTGCTAAAATTTAATTTTTTTATTTACATTTTTGCCCTTCAAGTCTTTAACGTCTATTTTTCGCTATTTTCTCATTGATTTTTGGTGAAATCTTATTCAATATATGTTATAAATTTGATCACATTTTCAAGATTTCCTTATTCGATCAAGTTGAGATTTTCTTAATTCTTAAACGTCTTTTACAGCTATGCTTTGAGATCTCATATTCTATATTTCTAATGCATCAAAAAAATTCATCTTTTGATATATCAATAGAAAGTAGATATTTTCCCTTCGTTTTTATAATTATTTGTTATGCTTTTTCAAGATTACGTGTTCTAGATTTCTGATGAATTTATTTGAATCATTATATGTCGATTCGATAGTAGAAGATGCTTTGTTCTTCATGACGAAGCTCTTGATTATGATTTTACTTTCTTCAAACCCCTTATGCATTGTTTTTTTCCTTTGTTTTTTGATTCATGTATTTGTGTGGATCATCACGTGAAGTTCTATATGTTTTAGTTCACAGTGACAAATCAAATTTTTTTGTACTCAATTTTCAGTTTTTTTTTTCGAATATTTGCTATGATGGACTTTCTTTATCGTCGTCATTACTACCAATACCAATTAAGTATATAATGTTAAAAAAATCATAAGGGTTTAATTTATAATGGAAATAAATAAGTTTTAATGACAGTGACGATTACAAATGTACAATGACACTAATAATGATAGTGATAGTAAAATGTCACTTTGTCCAACTTACAAACGACGATGATAAAGGTTAATGTTAAACATTTAATGTTACTATTGCACTGAAATTTTTTTTTCTCAAAAATTCAAAACCTCTAAGTTCAATTCAAAAATGGTATTAAACACTTACTCTAACGACTGTAACAAACAAATTTTTCACAAAAATTCGACAGTGACTTTTGACCTATATTTCTTCGTGTTGTTGTTATGCAAATGTTCTCAACAATTTGTCCATGATTATTCTTCTGAAGAGTCGATTATGAAATAAATTGATTAATTTATGGAAGTTACTTGAAGATCTTGAGTTTTGAATTTCAAAATCATTGAAGGTTCGGATTGTGAGTTTCGATTTGAGAGTGAGTTTGTGCAAGTGTACTAAGTTTATGTCTTTAAATTGATTACGACCAAAGTCGTGGCTAATTCAACCAAAAAAAGACGACCCTTATTCAAACCAAAAGAAAAGAAGTATCTCACCTCACTTACGAAGAAGGAGTTAGAGTTGGACTCCGAACTACGAGAGTTTGCTTTTGTGTTTTGAATGCTAACGTTAGAGATGAAACCACGTAAAGAAAGAAGGATAATTACTTCTTTCTCAGCCCAATATGTTTTGGAAATGTGGGCCTTCATGGTTGTAAGAAAAAGGAGCCTATACACCATCTTAATTACCAGTCGGTCCAGCCCAACCCGCTTGAGCCATATAAAAATATAAAAGCCAATGAGCCCTAACACTAACCCTAACCCCCCTCTCCAACTTCACTAGGGTTTCAGAACGAAGGCGGACCAACCTTCGTAAGAGTAGCTCGATTGCAATGGGTAAGCAATGGATTTCTTGATTTTTCATGATTTTGTGCTTTGTTATTGATTTTAATTAGTTCGTGCTCTGTGAAATTATGTTTGAAATGAATGAATTAACGGTGAATGATTACAACTACAGCAAGGATTAAGGTACATGAGCTCAGAATTAAGACGAAGGCAGATTTGTTGAGCCAGTTGAAGGATCTCAAGGCTGAACTCGCTCTTCTCCGAGTCGCCAAGGTCACCGGTGGTGCTCCTAACAAGCTCTCCAAGATGTACACACACTCTCTCTCTCTCTCTCTCACACACACACACAGTTTTTGTGTATTGATTTGCATGTGTATATGTTATGATGCTTTGCATGTGTGGGTCTATAATTCTAGATCTTGATATCACACTTAGTTGGTTTATTAACTGTTAGTTGTGTGTCTTTATACAAACATAGGGACTCTTACATTCGAGCATATAGTAAGTTTATGTATTCTTATGTTTGATTGGGCTCCTTGGAGTTGATGGGCGGATTTCAAAACTTCTTTCTTGTAAAGCTACGTGCTTGCATGGTTTGGTTTGGTTTTGAAATTGATTCTTCTTTGTGTCTTTATCTCTTGCTCGTATTGAGGTGAGTTCTCTAGGCTTGTATTTGTATTGAGTATACGTATGTTTGAGTTTGTGAAATTTTAGACCTCAATTGGATTTGGTTTAATTGTTTAAAATGAGGAGCCTTTTCCCCACAAATGCGTTTGTCTTTGTGCTTTATATAACATAACCATTGTTTGATTGGAACCATCACAACAGTTAAATAGCATTCTATGGACTTCACAATTGTAATTTGTGGTGGATTTTTACTATTATTCATAAGTTTTAGCATTTAGTGCAATGGGGCTAGTCAGTTTTGATAAGACAAGTTAACTAGTAAATGCACACTTAATCTTCAAGCATTTAGTCTGCTTATAGAAATCTCTACCTTGCCCTGTTTATCTGAATACATTTGATTAGAGTTGAGTCAATAGTGTTGTGTGTTGGTGATTTAAGTCTGATTTTGGCCTTTCTGTCTTATCTTATGCAGAAAAGTGGTGAGGCTGTCAATTGCTCAGGTGTTGACTGTGATTTCACAGAAACAGAAGGCTGCTCTTAGGGAAGCCTACAAGAATAAGAAATTCTTGCCTCTTGACTTGCGTCCCAAGAAGACCAGAGCGATTCGCAGGCGTCTTACCAAGCACCAGGTATCGTTTTAATCCTTCTCTTGCATACTCTAATTCTTTCTACTATTTTTACTGGAATCTGTTCTCCAAGATGTTAAGCCAACACCTGATAAAGGAAGCCATGCAATGACATGACTGTTGTCTAGTAAGCTGTTCTGTGTTTAATCAATGTTGCTCGTTAGACTTTTGGTTCGAGTGCAGCCTATATGGTTGTCCTTTCATGTATGAAGACTCTTCCTAAAAGGTAATGGTACTTTCTTTGTTTCTATAGGCATCATTGAAGACAGAACGCGAGAAGAAGAGGGAGATGTACTTTCCCATGAGGAAATACGCCGTCAAGGTGTAGGAGAGTATCTATGGCCATGGAGATTTCGGCACTTTGCATCTATAAAGCTCATTCTACTGGTGGATTTTTAAATTTTGTTTACTTGTATTTTGAACTTTGGTGGTTGAATTTCTCCCAATGCTAAGAAGGTGCTATTAGTTTTAATTTGAAACTGCAACAGTGATTCGTAGGTATTTTTGGCTCTTGTTTATTGCTGGATGATGCTTGTCGTGTAATGTTTTTTTGGACATGATTTTGTTCCTTGGGAGAGGCAAATGGGCAATGCTAGCATTGCTTTTATATGTCGTATTCTCTCTTCTCTTTAGCTGGGTAATGGTTTAAGGTTCGTTTCCTTGAAGGTACTCGTTTGTTCTGAAGCCTAGCATTATCCCTACGCTAACTCGTTATGGATCGAGGGAGCATTATGGTTTGCATATATTTTCATCATAGATTTTCTGCTTCTGAAGCAATCAAAGAATCTAGTTTCAGTAAGGAGGAATGTAAGAAAAAAATTTCAATTGTTTAAATTATCTTCAATTATATTTTGATGTCAAGAATACAAAAAGTATAATTAAAATTTAAACAAGTAGATCTTAAGCTAATTTTGGGCCAAAGATCGATCTGAATTCAGATCTCCATGACTTGTGTGATTATATGGTTAACTTAACTCATATCAAGTTTTGTCCAAATTAATGACTAATTAAATATTTTAAGAGAAATAAGGATAAAACAGAAAGTTAGATTATAAATCACAATTTGCTTATTTTTTTTTTCAATAAAAAAAAATTGGTTACTTGTGAAAAAATTTAAAAATATAATAGTTTAGGGGATAATTTGGTTATTTTTTTAAAAAAAGTTGGTTATTTTTTCTATTATTGAGGGTATCATATAAGAATATAATAGTTTAGGGGATAATAAAAAAATGTCATAATTTTAGTGGTCCAAGTATAATTTTCTCAGTCGGAATTTGTCACAACCTTACTCGGTCCTTTCCAAACACTTTCCTCCATTGTTTCTTTTAGTTCTTTATCTCGTGTCATCATTTTCCGCAGTCCACTTTGTGCAACCCAAAACCAAAAATTCCACAACTCTCTCTCTCTCTCTCACTCTCATTCAATTTCCAGGGTTTGCACTCTGCGTCTCTCAGCTCAAGCATGGCTTCGCCTATAGAAGAAGGTACACACTCTCTTTCTGTTTTCTTTTGATTCTAAGATCACATGTTAAACCATCTCGCATGAAAACTTAAACTATTACTAAAATTTGATTAAAAAAAAATTAAAAATTTGATTTAATATAGACCTTTTTTAACGGAGAAACTTAAATTTAAACGAAGAAAAACTCAAATTTAAAAAGATAAAATATAATATTAAATTTTTAAAAGAGGGTGTACCATTAAAGATTTAGATTTAAAAAAAAGATTTTCCTTGATTTGTGTTTAAAAAAGTGTTTCTTTTTATTTGGTATAAATAGGGGTCTAGCGTACCAATGGAAGGAAACTTTTTTTAAACTCAAATAAAAGGGACTCAAATTCAGTTTTTAATGGCGAGATTAGGCCTTCTTTTAAAAGATATAATGGTTATATTTTAACATTTTTAAAATTTGAATTTATCCTTATTGAAATTTGGATCTCATTTCCTTTAAATTTAATTTCTCCATTAGAAAAGTCTATACCAACTCAAATTTTTACCAGTTTCCATCGGAGATGGTGGTACATGAAATAGTCTCAGCTTATTTTCTCGGGACATACCTTTGTTGGAAAATTTTCTCAAGAAAAAATTGATTTGTTGCTGAAAGGAATATACTTTTCTGCAAGTTGGTGGAGAAGTTTATATTAAATATGCTCCAAAAGATTACTGCACCCTCAAAAACGAGTTAAAAACTGAAATTTTCCTGGAAACAATTTTCTGTTGAAACAAACAGAACGAACAAGATTCATGCGTTATGTTTGTATAGAGTCTATAGACCTTAGCTGCAATATCGGTTATAATAGTGATTTTATGGGCAATTGATTCAATAGTTGGATTAGTGGAATCTTTGCTCTGCTAGGCGGATAAAAATGCTGGGAAAATTACCAGTAAGCTCTACTAGATGGATAAATAGTTTTTGGTAACTTTTCAAGAAACTGCTTTCTGTTGAAACAAGCAGAACAAATGAAATTATTTGTTTGAAATATTGATTAATGAGTAAATGATGTTATAGTAGGTGAAAGAGACTTAGAGAAAGGATTGCTCTCTCCAACAGCTTACCAAAACCCTCTCGCCGAGCAATCACCATCACCATCCTCAGCCCCTGCACCCGCTTTGGTTCTGTCAAATTCCGGAAACCGAATTGATCAATCCGGGAAAAAGAAATATGTGAAACAAGTGACGGGTCGGCACAATGACAGTGCGCTTCATTTAGCAGCTCAGAGAGGTGATCTTGCAGCAGTGAAACAGATTTTGGATGATATTGATTCTCAAATGGTGGGGACTTTTAGTGGAGCTGAGTTAGACCAAGAGGTTGCAGAGATTCGGGCATCAGTGGTGAATGATGTGAATGAATTGGGAGAGACGACACTGTATACTGCGGCAGATAAAGGGCATCTTGAGGTTGTGAAGGAGTTGTTGAGGTATTCAAATAAGGAGACACTTTCAAAGAAGAACCAGTGCGGGTTTGATCCATTGCATATTGCTGCTAGTCAAGGACACCATGGTAGTGATCTATTTTGTAAATTGTTCATCATTTATTTGCTTGACTTAGTTATTTTATTTCAGTTTATTTCTAAGTTACTGAGTTCATTGTTTTTCGCCTTTTGATTAAATAACTATGACATTGGATTATCTTGCTAGAATTTAGCTTATCGAGAGAGATTTGAGATTCTGTTAGTAACTCACTGAGTGCTTTCTAAGAAGGGCTTGACTTGAAAGAAGAAAATGAAATACAAACGTTGAACTTTCACCCGAGCTTGAGCGAGTACTCATCCATCGCACTTATGATGTAGGATAGGATATATCCCATTGGCGTTGGGTTTTGGTGGTAGGAGGAATCTCCATTGCCACCGCAATAGCTCTGTCTTTGCTATCCAGCATACAAGCTAGATATTTGTTGATTAATTTTATCTGTGTGTTGTCTTTGTTTGAACTAACCATGGTAAAATGTAAGCAGCTTAAGCACTGGATTTCTGATAACAACTTACAAGGCGATTGAGTATGGAATTGAGTTAGGATGAATCCACATGGCTAGTGGCATTCTGTTGAATTGAGAATCTATGGGGGCATATACGCCTACAACCTGACAATTATCCTGCAGCTTTGAATGTTTAGCCCAGGTTACAGACCATAAGAATTCTGATATTACCTTGGCTCATTGTTTACATTCAATAATCCTATTAATAATCGGCCATGCTATCAAAATGCAACCTTGAAAAGCATTGTACTGGAAGCCATTAGTCTGTAATGGTATCGCAATTGCAACTAGTATCTCCACATTTGGGGTCCCTCGTTTTGGTTCCATTGTCTTTAGACCTAATTAGACCCAATATTTTCTGATGCATTTGTACTCTGTGAGCAGAATTTTAATTTGGGTTGAATAAGAGTACTTATCATGAATGATGTTGGGAATGGAAATGATATGCCTAAGTGCTTGTTGCTGTAAGTTGTTTTTGGCCTTCTTGATGTTTCTAGGATGGAATTCTTCAAGATGACATAATATTCGTACATTACAAAGACTACTTTTATCATCTGAAATTAGTTTTACCTGCTAGAATTTGGTTACTAAATTGTATAGGTGCAATACAAAAGCCCGGTCATACACTTAGTGGCTTAATTTTCTATTGCAGCCATTGTCCAAGTGCTATTAGACCATGACCCAGAGCTAAGCAAAACAGTTGGCCCATCAAATGCAACCCCTCTTATAACTGCAGCTTCAAGAGGACATACAGCTGTGGTTCATGAACTGCTGTCAAAAGATTGTAGCTTGTTAGAAATTTCTAGATCCAATGGGAAAAGCCCATTACATTTGGCTGCCAGACAGGGGCATGTAGACATTGTCAAGGCATTGCTCGACAAGGATCCGCAGTTGGCTAGAAGGAAGGACAAGAAATGGCAGACTGCCCTCCATATGGCTGTAAAGGGGGTTAACTGTGAGGTGGTCAAATTGCTTCTCGAGGCTGATGCAGCCATTGTGATGCTGCCAGACAAGTTTGGTAACACAGCATTACATGTAGCCACCAGAAAAAAGAGACCAGAGGTATATATTAGTTTGGTATTGGCATATGCCCTTGTGTGTTACATATGCAAGAAAAATAGACCTCAAACTATCTATTTCTTTTAAATGTTCAGTGATCTAATATCTTTTGCCTGAATTACACAGATAAATTGTTTGATCCTTTTCCATGAATTGCTTTCATCTTCTATGGAGTTTGCCCGAATATTTCAAGTTCGATTAGTGTACTTTTTTGCTCTGTATACTGGATATATATTATTGAAAAGAGGTTCAACAATATTTATGTATTTTTTGAAATGTGTGAATTTTATGTCTTGTGTGTACACCATTGTCTTGGTTTGTCTCCAAGGCTTTATTTTCTGTTTCTGCACTTGGAAGTTTTTGATATTACGCATATAAAGCCGTATAAATGCTAATCTGAGGTGAATTTTTTTCTGTGTTGTTTTTGGGTTTCTCGGTTTTCTGGTTCATCATGAAGGTTTACTCCTCAAGTTAACCACACAACAACATAAAAATCCAACTTAGCTTATATATTGATTTCCTTTTACATTTTCCCCTTTCAAATAGGTGATTTCCTTTTAATTTGTTTCGGTACAGATAGTGAACGAGTTATTACGCCTACCTGACACCAATGTAAATGCACTAACCAGAGATCACAAAACAGCTCTTGACATAGCTGAAGAGCTTCCCCTATCTGAAGAATCCTCAGATATAAAGGCTTGCCTTTGTCGCTATGGTGCTGTCAAAGCCAATGAACTCAACCAACCAAGAGACGAATTAAGGAAAACTGTGACTCAAATCAAGAAAGATGTCCACTTCCAACTGGAACAAACCAGGAAGACAAACAAAAACGTTCATGGAATTGCTAAAGAGCTCAGGAAACTTCATCGTCAGGGGATCAACAATGCCACCAACTCAGTGACTGTAGTAGCTGTGCTATTTGCCACAGTTGCCTTTGCAGCCATTTTTACTGTGCCCGGAGGGGATGCTGATAATGGGATGGCTGTTGTTGTGAGACGTACCTCTTTCAAAATCTTCTTCATCTTCAATGCCATTGCACTTTTTACATCCTTGGCTGTGGTTGTCGTTCAGATTACTTTGGTGAGAGGTGAGACAAAGGCAGAAAGACGGGTGGTGGTTGTGATTAACAAGTTGATGTGGTTGGCTTCTGTGTGCACTTCTGTGGCATTTATGGCATCTTCCTATATAGTGGTTGGCCGCAAGTATGAGTGGGCTGCTATTTTGGTTACAGTTGTGGGGGGAGTGATAATGTCTGGGGTCCTTGGCACCATGACTTATTACGTGGTAAAGTCGATGCGTACCCGATCAATGAGAAAGAAGGTAAAAAGTGCTAGAAGTGGCTCCAACTCATGGTTTCAATCTGAGTTTTCTAACTCAGATGTTGATCGGATTTATGCCCTTTGATTTGGGAGGTTGTAATCTCGGGGTCAGAGTTCAAGGACTATGTATTGAAACAGAAAAATAGAGTGGAAAAAATATAGAAAGGTGTTAGATACAGTTACTAAAAGACTTACGGAGTTCCTAAGAAGTAATAATGCTTCCATTCCATTGTAACTTTTGGCGCAACAGATTCTATTGTCTTAATTCCTTCCTAAATGTTAAGTCAGCAACACTTCCAAATGCTGCTTCTTCCTGTTGCATTCGTCTCGTCTTCAGGACGATATAGTCACAGTTTTTCACTTCTCACTAAGTGAAAGATTTGTCCCGTTGCTGGGAGGACTGTTGGAATTTTGAAGTGCATATTCAACTAGAAGAGCATGCAGATAAATGGTGGTTGCTTGCTGGAGGTTCTCTGGTGGTATCTAAAATCCATAGATCAGAGGAGTACCATATTGGCATTTGGTGAGAAGTAAAAGATAATGGCTTTGTTTCAGATTATGCTGAAGGAGCCTTAGATTGTGGGGCGGATTTCAGATTTCTCATTATATATGAAATTTCATTAAGCTTTGCACTAACTACACACTTTTAGCAATAAGAATCTGGGTAGAAGGTTTTGCGAGGCAATGGCCTTGTGATACTACCTGACTTTGGAATATGCTGGGTAGACATTCCAGGTTTTGAAGGAGTCTGTTCTGTTCAAAAGCTTTCTGGTCTTCTTAAACATAGCTAATTCAAGTGCCAGACTGATTTGTGGTCAGCCTTTCAACTAGTTGTGATCATTGACTGATATTGTACTGCAAAACCATATGATTGCAATTGGTAACTAGGTATTTTATTGAATTTATTCTAATCATCGTTCCAAAGAATTGGGGTGTGCTTTTATTTTTCTTCTCCATTTATATACCTTAATAATTTTGAACCAGTGATTGCACATATCCTGCGTCTAATATCATCGTCTAGCCAGTGCTGCAACGACTTTGTCTTCGTGTACTCTACTCACGTAATACTTGCTCTCCTGCTCTCGTTGAAGTACTTATTGTTGTCTTTGTTGAGTAAATGAATTTTATTTGGTATGACTGATACAGAATTGAGCGAGACTGATTCCACTTGACAGCCCAACGAGACGAAATATAGTTTTATTTTATTGGGCTAACTTAAATCCATTTTTTGGAATTTTCATTTAGTTATGCTTTTAATTCCTAATTTAGAGAGAATTAGGATTTTGGTGTATTATATAGGATTTTAGTGTTTTCAAAGTGTCTTCTCATGTTCTCCATCTAAATCCAAGGTTCTGTGTTTTGTAATTCCTTTGTGATTTTCACTCAGGGTGCAAATGAACCTAACTGAGTTTAGCTGGCGCCTATTCGAGCTTGGGTCCTTCATTTGCACAGAGAGCTTGAGCTCATCTTAGCTCTTTTTTTGATTAAATGAGCCGAGGGATTGTGTTTGCGTTTAAATTATATAGATGTTCACAAGTCATTAAACTGAGTTAAAGCTCGGTTTATGAAAAAGCTTGAGCTGTTCACGAACAATTCAATTTATTTGCAGCCTTAATCATAACCGCTGCGTCATTTGGCACGCACCAATCCATCTAAATCTTGGGTATGCTATGAGAACTTTAGAATGACTTGAGATAGGTGAACTTTATACTTATTAAATCTCACACTCACATCTAATGGGTACATATAGGAAATTTGTGTTCCTTTACTTATTGCAATTCTTTCGGGGCATCTAGAAATTGGATAAAGCGAATAACAGTCTGATGCAATAACAGCAATTGAAAAAACTCCAGTAGGTCTGTGCAGTGTGCCTTTCCTCCTTTGGTTCTCCAGACATCTATGGAAGTTGGGTGGGGAAAAGGCTTTCGTGTTATATGCTTAACAGTACACCCTAGTGCTCAACATCATTAGTTTAGTCTTTTTAGTGCTTTCTTTGGCTCTAATCTTGTCAAACATCTGCCTGACAAGCTCACATAGTTTAAGGTTTGAGTACACCCCACTTGAAAATCAAAGAATGTGACAAAGAGCCACCTGAAAGGCTGTTTGTCAGCATTTGGAGATTTCATCATCCTTACTGAAAAGTGTATTTATTATACTTAATGCAGGCGGGTTCCTCAGTTGTTCATAAGGGACAAACAGGTGGGTATTGGCAATCACTGTCATTTTTTCTTATATTATTATATTACATGAAACACTATGATATTTGTTTTTGTTTAAATGGTGCTTTAAATCCAATTGTGGTTCAGGTGTTCCCCATTTCAGCTCATAGTCTTGTGAGAAGGAGATCACCTTTTACAGGTAAGCAATTTTCATTATTATTCATTCATGGTGGAATAAGGATTGTATTCTGTTTTCCAATCTCACCTTTCATTGAAAAACATAGAAGAATGTGTGTGCATATCAGAAGTATAAAGTGTAACATAATCTGTCATTTGTTGAAAGTATTAAGGAATGTCATTGGCCAATGGGGCTTTTTGTGGCAACTTTTCAGTATTATACCAAAAGCTATGACCCAATCAGGTTAAGTTAGGATTCAAACAGCCCAAATTAAGCCTCATTGAGGTCGATTTAGGACCAATCCAAATAATTTGAGATGGATCCCAACGTTTAACGGTCGATCCAAAGTTTTTTAGGACCGATTCCAAAATTTTGGACCTCATTAAGTTGTAACTTGATCTTATTAGAGAAAGCGACTTTCCCGGTAATATCAATTTAAGGTCATAACTGTTGAACACATGATCAATTGTATCTCTACCAGTGCAGTACACATGGAAGATGGAAATCCAATGCAAAACGTTGAACTTGATTTACAGAGGATTTTAGAGATTTTTTTACCCTCCTTGGTTCATAGTCTTGGTGCTTTTTTTTTTTCTCAGTAAAATTCTGTGTTTCCTGAATGTCTATACTCATGGCTTTACCCATTTTTTTTAAAAGATTACCTTATTCCAGTTAGATTTAAGTAATTAATTGAGAGTTAACTCTGCGGAATTCAAAGAAATTTCGTTGAAATGAATAATTTTCATTCCAGAATGCCAAAGTATATTTTTTTCATTTTAAGGAAAATTTTAGCTGACTAAGCTACCCTTTTCTTGTCAATAATGGAAAGACTACTAAACAGAAATGAGTCAAGCATAAAAAATGTATCAACAGCAATTGTCGAGTTCTTCCTCAGTTGAACCTTGAAAGTTCTTTTGAGAAAGTATTTTCTCCTTGTACTTCCTAAGAAAGAGAAAGTTCTAAAGAGTACAGACTTCCACAATATTTCTGCTCTAAAGAGTACAGACATCCCTGCACATTTCTGAATTCTAAAAAGTACATAAAATTTAAAAAGGAAGAGAGGAACACATCATAAACCAATCAAAAAATTATACTTTGACCTTTTTTTTCCTCTCTCTCCCCCCCTCCCCCCCAAACAACATATCTTTATCCTCTACAGAGTCCTGGTCTTTCTTGATCCTCACAAACTATTCTAGAAGCTGACAATGAGCAAACCCCAATGTCACTTACAGTCTTTCGTGAATACAACTGCTGCTGAGCTCTTTTACAATGAGCAATTGCAGCCTGAATTGGATTCTCAATCTCTGAAATTCCACTGCAAGTTTTGTTGAAATGCAACTCTTGTGAGCCATTTGAATTACTTGTGCTGGAAGATGAAGAAGAGACAGGTGAAGATGATGAAGATGAAGACTTAGTGGTCGAAAGGCGTTTGATAGCGTCTGAGAATGAGCTCTTATAATTATGAAGGTCATCCTCAGCAATCTTTTCTTTGTTAAAGTTCCGCATGGACATTGGGTGTCCAGCTCTTTGAATTTGTCCAAATGGGGTCTTCTTTGCTACCTTCACATACTTGTTTACATATTCTTTGACCTTTGGAATTGATCCTTCCTCATTCCTTCTTGAAGATATTGTGCATGATTCAGCTGAGCAGCCAGATTTTCTGAACAATGACTTCAGATAAATGCCGGAGGCCGTCAGCTTTGAACCAATTGAGGAGTGCTTGACCAGATTAAGCTTTCTGGTCCAGGACCCTTTCGGGTTTTTGCCAATGGAACCGCTTGATACTGTTGAATACTCAAAGAAATACTCATCGGGATTCAGTTCTCTGCTAACCTGGCAAGATTCTGAGGGTGATATATTACAGGAATCAAATGAGGTAAGTGTGGTAGGGGTGGTGTTAGTGTTTGTGGTTAAAGGAGTGCTAAAAAATTCGTTGGGGGTGTCTGGCTTGTAGTCATAAGAGTTGGAGTGCTGTAGGAGTTTCTCTACCATTTGCAAACGGGGAGGGAGGTGAAGGGGGAGTAGCTTTCCTTTGTAAAAGAGTTCATCAGCTGGGGAGGTGGTGGTATCTCTCTCTGAGGAGCTTGAAAACATTTGGAACTCAAATTCTAGGGGGTGTGGAGGAGAACTTTGGAAGTGGCAGAACAAATTCGCGTGTGAACTGACTTCTATGTCAATGTAGCCTTCTTCTGCAGGATCAGATGAATGAAGACTTGCAGCCATTTCAGCTCTCTCTCTCTCTCTCTCTCTCTCTCTCTCCTATTGCTTGTGGTTATGGTTATGTGAGCTTTGTGAAGGGAAAGAGGGGAAGTGCTTCCTTTAAAAGTGTGAGGAAAGCCCTGATTGCTCAGTCATGAAAAAGAAACAAGTGATGGGAACTTTCAGCATTTATTAAATTCTTTTAATGCTTCCAAACATGAAGTTCAAGATGCTATGGGGAAGTCTTTCAACTGGCCTAGCACTGAGTCATTCCTACAATTTTTTATCTTTCCTGTAAACTTTTTTCTATGGCTCACTTCTTGTTGCTTTTTTTCTGTCTATAATTGGATTGTTGGTTTCCTGTCTCTTTCTTTTATTTTGTTTATTATTACTGAATACCACCAAAAAAAAATTATGTTCAATGAATGATTGGCCATTTAATTTAGTGAAACTCGAGGGATGTTAGTATAATCCTATTGTGTGTATGTGCAACGCAGACAAGGACAAAAACCTCAAAGAATACACCGTTGGAGATAGTGGGTGACCCATACTCATCAGGCTTGAAAGTCTAATGGCTCGTGGGTAGAGCACAGTGCAATGAAGCAGAGGAAAACGGTGCCCACATACCTGCCACAGATATCTACAGTTATTAGTCAGTTGAATAAAAGGTCAGCACCCTCTTGCGGTCTATGGGATGTGACAAGATTAGGAGTCTCAATTGATGCCAGTATGTGAATTGTAATCCTGTAACAATTCGGATAGGGTGAACAACACGTTTTTTGTGAATGTAGGTAGGAGTTCTACCGAAACTCATACATATACATGTTTTTTTCTAATCTGATTGTTTTGTTCTCTCACCAATTGTTCACCGTGTTCCACATTTACAACATACACTTTGAAATTTACTAGTATTTAGAGGCGCTTTGAAAAATTTAGTTGTGTTTGGAGCTATAGAATCAGTGTGACTATTAAAAATACTTGGAGCTAAAGAACCACTTTATGCTTTACCTAGTTTTGCTGCTTTTTACTTGATTCATGGATTGGTTTCTTTACTTGTTCTTTTCTTTCTTTAACCAACTCCCCTGGCTTTTCCATGGTTTTCCCTTCGTAGTACTTGACCAACTCGTGTACATTTTTTGTTTTTTGTTTGAATGGTTATAGGTGTTTGGGTTAGTTTACGTGCACCTCAACTAATTCTATATTTGGGTCTGGTCAAAGATAAACCATTCACACCGGAATTAGAGTATTTATAATTGATAAATTCCTTATGGTCTGACTTCTAGTGGTTGTCAAGATTCGAACTCATTAAGATGTCTGGGTTTACACACACATATATATATAGAGAGAGAGATGAATGGTGACCACAGACTAAGAACAAACACTTAATCCAACATAAGATGGTGGGGAAGGGAAGACTAGAAAGCGATGCCTGCGATGCTCAAGACTATTGTTTTGTCATTTCTTTAAACTACCACCCCTCGTTTGAGCCTTTTCTTTTTGACCACTTAATAACCAACACCCCCCCCCCCCTCCTTTGTTTTACCAGAATCCAAATAGTTTGTTAGAGCTGGTTCTGTTCTAATAAAAAACACATCAGCATGTAGCGAAAAAAATAATTCTACTTTGAAAGAATAATAAAATTATAGATTTTTTTTCCGTGTCATCTCGTGATTTAGTGAAAAATGAAAGTATGATACTAAAAAATTATTTTTCGATACTGGAACTTAAGGCCATTCCTTTAAAGTTTCATGTCTTTTCAGCTTTGTCAAGGCATTATGATGTGTGTTGTTTGGGTGCAAACTATCATCCAAAGTATTCCAATTGCCTCCTAAGGGGTCCAAGCTCCAACAGCAATATCAAGACCCTAACATTTGCCTCATTTGATCAAATTTGATCCTCTCAATTGCAAGATTTCATCAAATCCGTAAGTTTGTCGAGTCCCCGAGATAAGTTTTTAAGGATTTTGCTAATATCTTGTGAAACCCGACGAGTTTTCAACTGTAAATAAATCAACTTCATCGAAATTGACAAAATCGAAAATTAATAGGATCCGAATTCCATTTGCTCGGTAATCAATTATAGATGTTGCAATTTTACTGCATATATTATGGGTAAGAGGCTGTGTGTTGTACGAAGAAACAAAATGACAAAAACCATAGTAAATTACTTGAGGAACTTAGGAACATTGCCTCTGCACTTCAATGAGAAGGGAATTATATTCCTGGCAACCTTTCAATGCTAGGAAGAGAAAAGCTTAGTTTTCGTTTAGTAGATTATCTTGTGTTCATTCCTCACTCTGTTATAGATGAGAGTTTTGTATACCAAGTACGACCTTCTTAAGATAATAAGTTTGAATTTTTCCCCTCTTGGTTAAGTGCGTTTTGTTTGGTTATGAATGTGTGCATATGAAGTTCTCATTGTTGTCACATGTTCATGGTCATAGCTACTCAAATGCCGAGGGCTAGTTGGGGGCGGTTCTCTGTTACCGAAAAAAAAACAAGAAAAGAATAAGAGACATGTTTAGTAGTTAAGTTTACTCTCTTGTAAGCAACATGTCTCAGGTTCGATACTTTCCACATCTTGAGGAAGTCATTCTTGTTCCTCAGATGACATGTCCTTAAATTAACTCGAGTTATGATAACCGCTTTAGAGTTCGAGGGAGTAATCAACGCAAGTCTAAATACTTTGTAGAAAAAAAAAACAAAATAGAACAAAACAAAACAGAAAGAGTTAATAGTTCTAACTAACAAAACCAACCATGATTATTAAATCAATCTCTCATAACTCTAAATATAACAACGAAAAGTTTGAGTAAAAATTGCCATTAATGTATCCATCCGAAAGACCCACCACCCTATCACCAAGTGGAGTGGTTCAGTGGGGTACTGGTCGACCTAATCACTCTGAGATTTGAGGTTCGAGTCTTAAGTCTATATTGAGACTTGGTAATTGATCGCTATCCTAGCCTAGTTAAATTCATTCCCGAGAGGAGTAATGAATATAGTCAAACACCTCATTATTCCACCAATGATGACTTATCGGGACTCTCCTAAGCACTCTCCTTTACCCCTACCTCTTTTTTAACACGCAAAAAAAAAAAACAAGAAAAGAAAGAACCCACCACCCCAGAAAATCTGGCTGATATTGTTTCTTGGATTAATTGATAAAGAAGCAACACGTAGAGCCTCTCGGATTGGGTTGGAGGGCCTCCATTGTTGGGTATATCACCAACACCTCCGAGAGCTAAAGGATGCCACAGTAGCTCAACAGTTTCAAGCCAAGCTTTTTGCAAGATTTTTTTTTCTTTAGCAAGAAATCGTTTCAATTACATGTCTTTTACACTCAGAAAAGCAATGTAAACTGCGAATGGATACGATTATCCGTTAACCACTTGCATTTGTTAAACCGGAAGTTTACGTGATCAGAGAAATTCAAACAAGGGATTTATGTGTTTACACCTTATTATTTATTCGACCACTAAATCAACCCGCGCATGCATGTTTGGAAGGTCGTTATCGAAACCGCCTTCTGCAGGATTTTGAAGGGGCTCCCAGTGCACCAGTTTCTGTACCCTAGTGTTGAAAGCATGGTAGTCCCCCTGGGCAATGATGATGCCCTTCAAAGGACAACATATTTCCACTTCTATATCTGGACAGCTCTCTCCATCCATCAACATAAAAGGTGGTCACAAAGCCAGCCTGGAATGATCCTCCCCCACTATGGAGTACCCTCTCAAAACTACCTGGGCATGTTTGGTATGTGGGGTTGGATGAGATTTAAAGGGTGGATTTTATAAAAATAATCCACTATACCTTCTAAACTTTTGTTTGGTTCAAGACTTGAACCTTGGGATTTATAAGGGATATGAATCCCGGCCCCTAGTGATAGTTGGTTAAAACCCACTAATGGGAGTTCGATGAAATCCACGGCAGGAGTGGGTTTCGAAAGTGAGAGGTTGGATTTGTAGATAAAAAAACAATTTTACGCAAAAAATTATTCTTCTATTCATCTCATAATGGGCATTTTAGTAAATTAAATAATATAATTTGATATGAATCTATAGACCCTAAATGTATTTATGTCACCTACCAAATATAAGATTGGATAAGACTTTTTTTTTTTTAATTGCATGTACAAATCCTTAGGGTTGGGTTTGAGAAGGTTCTATAAATCCAATCCAAACCCTCCCAAAAATAAACATCCAAATTTAATATTTTTTACTTTTTATGTATTATAGAAGAAAATTTTAACCTCTTCTATCACAAATTTATGACAGGTTGAGATCGAGTCCAAATATCAATTCCCTGTGATTGCATTCATGCTATCATTTATTGGTAGAAAACTCACCTGAATACTATCCCTACCTGTTGAATTTAGGACAGTTGACCAACTAACATTGATGTAACAGTAAAGTTATACCCAATGTGACGTGGACACAAAGGTATAGAAATAAGATTGTGTACATCTAGCTGATCATTCCCAAGTTTTGACCATCCACAAATCCTATGGTGGCACATACCTTAGGGAAAAAAGTACTGTCTTTTTTTGATCTGGGGAAAGAATGGAAGAAAACTAGTAAACGAAGTAGGTCTAAATTCATATAGAGATCAAATTCTGTCCAGCTTCCCTGTTGAACCCAACTTTTCCGGGTAATCAATGAACATGTTACACATCAGCAAAACCATTAAAAAAAAAATGAAACCCATGCCCCTGGTTTCAATTCACGTAAGTGAACTTCGGTTTATTTCCCAAAAAACTTAACTACGGTTCTAAACAACTCAACTGTGTTCCACTTATAACCTAGCCCACTTACTATTTTACGGTAGTTATTTGCTCTTTTCGTTAGATAAAAACTATATCTTAAGTTTGGTTATGATTGCGTGCATCTGAAGTTCACATTGTCGCCACATGTTCATGGTTAAAGCTATTCAAGAGCCAAGGGCTAGTTGGGGGCAGTTCTCTGTTACTGGAGAAAAAGAAGAAGAAGAAAAGAATAAGAGGAAAAAAAAAAAAAGAAGAGTTGTAGTTCTAACTAACAAAACCAACCATGATTATTAAATCAATCTCTCAGAACTCTAAATAGCACAATGAAAAGTTTTGAGTAAAAATTGCCATTAATGTATCCCCATCAGAAAGACCCACCACCGAGAAAATCTGGCTGCTATTGTTTCTCGGATTAAATGATAAAGATGTTGGGAAAATAGGCTTTCCCACAAGTGTAAATCAATGGAAGCAATATAAATAAAATAACAGAAAATAAATAAGCACACAAGATTTACGTGGTTCCCTCAAATAACTTGAGGTACATCCACGACGACCGGTAGGTCAGTTTCTTCCACTATCACCAAATCAGATTACAAAGTGGCCAAAAGGCATAAGCCTTACAAACACACCAAGGTGTAAATCACAAGAGGAAAATACCTCACAAAATAAGTGAACCAAATCTCCAAGAACAAACCGCAAGAAACCCAAATATCAAGTGAAGAAATATTACCCACTTGAAGAACAAATTTGCAG